GTTTCAGTTGTACAAGATCAAAAGAGGTACGATGATATATGGTAAAAACAAACACACAATAAACACACAATACACACACACACACACACACACACACACGCAAAACCTAATATAACCTACTGTAAAGAGTGTATGCTGTTCCACTTACAGAGAGCATGGCAGCATAGGGAAAGAAAAGCCACAAGTTGCTATATCAGGACCAAGCAGGGTCCATGAGGCTAGTCCCCAAGGCAGTGGTGAGATGGGGTTGAGCAGTTTCAGCCTGCACAACGAATCAGTGCCATCATTCCAGAAAATCTTAACTGGAAGAGCTTTGCAGAGTCATCCATTCAGGCCTCATGTTACAAATAAGGCAAGGTCTTGAGTCCCACTGTGGTGGCAAAAAAGACCAGAATTCTCAAGACTGATCTGGTCCCATCACACACTGGCTACACCTTGGCCACAGATGCACTGGTCACCTGGCAGTCCATCCACACCTGTGAGCCTCAGCATCCTCTTTGGGAGCCCTCGGTCCTCACCAATCCAGGGTCCCTGCTCCTAACCAGCTGGCGGACATGGCCACTGATGAGACCAACCCGTTGACCAGTTCCTCTCATTGTTTTCACTCTGCACAGCTACTTCAGTGAATCCAGGGCCTCTGGGAGGTGATAAACATCTCCATTCTTCCCCAGGTTCTCTGACCAACCCCAGAAAGATGTAGGGGTAAGCAACAAATATTTAATTGCATAAGATATCAGATATTAAATTACTCCTGAAATAATTTAAAATCCTAAAGCATAACTTACATTGAGGGACTTCCCTGGTGGTGCAGTGGTTAGGAATCTGCCTGCCAATGCAGGGGACACCGGTTCGAGTCCTAGGCCGGGAAGATCTCAAATGCCATGGAGCAACTAAGCCCGTGCGCCACAACTACTGAGCCAGCGCTCTGGAGCCCATGAGCCACAACTACTGAAGCCTGCACGCTCTAGAGCCCGCATGCCGCAACTACTAAACCCTCATGCTGCAACTACTGAGGTCCACACTCCTAGACCCCGTGCTCTGCAACAAGAGAGGCCACTGCAACGAGAAGCCCGCGCACCGCAACGAAGAGTAGACCCCGCTCGCCACAACCAGAAAAAGCCCGCACGCAGCAACGAAGACCCAACGCAGACAGAAAAAAAAAAAACCTACGCTGAAAGGACCAGTAGTACTAGGATTACAGACCTGGCTCTGTCTGGGTTTTGGTTAGAGGCTCTGGGGCCACATGTCAACTGAGCACCAATGGCCACCAGACTGCAAGCAGAGTCCTGTTCTGGGTAGGATGTGCTCTGGTCCCCAATCTACACTCATCTATGGCTCCCGGTGTCCATGACACTAAGATCAGTGGTGCAGACCAGGTGACTTCCTTCTGCCCTGATGAGTAATAATCCATCTTGCCCAGGAAAAGGGAGAGAGCTGGAGCGAGGAAGACATCTGGCTTCTAAAGGCATTTAAAATGATGCAGATAAGAAAATATTGACATGATATTAAGTAAAACTGTATAGACAGCTTGAACTCAAACACGCCAAGTAGATACATACCCTATGGTTAAATGAAAGACAGGGAAGAGGCATGCCAAGAGATTATGCTCTGTGGTCATCTCTCTGTGGTGGGATTGTGGTGGTTATTCTATTCTTTATTCTTTCCTCTATATTTCAGATATTCAAAATTACTTTTATTAGAAGAAAAAAAGGCGTGCCTCTTTTTCACTCTAAAATCCGGCTGCAGGGTCAAGCCTGGAAGTGAAAATTGTCTTTTGCAGGCCTAATTCCTTTCCTGGGAAAACCCAGATAATAGCTATGCACCGAATGGGATAACAGACCAGAGTTCACCAAAATGTTTGGGGCACTTCCAAACTGTTGTAGAAAAATACTGTTACTCTCGCTCCTGATCTGGGTGTTTAATATTTCACACAGATAGACATAATATCGCTGACAAGGATACAAAGGAGGAAAAGTAAGGATTTAAGTCTATTATCAGACACTCTGGCAGGCTCCCGCTCTGTCACCACTCCCAGCAGGGCAGGAGTGTTACTACTGAAAGATACATTCACAGCTGGGGCTAAAGGAGATCCAGAACATAACTATGGCTCATGTGGCCCTGAACCCAACACAACACAAACACACCCAAGAACCCAACTCAGACACACACACCAGGAGCCTATACGCATGTCCTGCACACACACCCAGGCCCAATGTCTGCGCACACAATGCAGAACTCAACATGAACACACACTTACACAGAACCTTCCAGGTGCACACACGCCCCAAATACAAATAACATGCACACTCATCCCTAAGACCCAACACAGGCGCACACCCCTCAGAAAGGTACACACACCTTTCAGACCCAGCATGGACACGCGCACACCCCTGAGAGCCCAATGCAGGCACTCACACTCTTCAAGACCCAGCACGGCAACAGACCCCTCAGAAGTGATCACGCACACACATCCTTCAGAACCCAAAATGGGCACAAACTGAAGACCCAACACACGTGAACACACCCCTCAGAACCCAATTCAAGTGCTCACACACCTCATATACCACGCAGGTACACACGCCACAACCCAACACAGACACACAACCCTCAGACCCAAGACAGGCACACATTCCCCTCCTACCCAACATGGGAGCAGACCCCTCTGAACTCACCTGGTACACAACCATCAGTTTTAACACCAGCACACACACAACCCTCAAAACCATCAGAGACAGGCAACCTTCAGAACCCAACACACATACACACCTCTCAGAGTCCAAACAGGCACACATACCCTCAGAGCTCAAGACAGGCGTGCACACACACACACACACACACACACCACTCAGAACCCAACATGGAGGCACACACCCTTCAGAAACCAGCGGGGTACACGCTCCTCAGACTCATACGGGAACACACTGCTCAGAACCCAACACATGCAGAGACGCCCTTCAGAACAGACACAGACACACACTCCTCAACACCCAACACAGATACACCACTGAGAACCACTCAGACACATAACCCACAGACACAACATGAACACACACACCCCTGAGAACCAACAAGGACTCCACTCCTCAGAACCAACATGGCACACCTTCCTCAACCGAACACGGATGCAAAAACTTGAGATCCAATATGTGCAACACACACTCAGACACGACATAGACACACACTCATCAACCCAACACAGAGACACACACCCCTCAGATCCAACACAGGCGCACACACGCCTCAGAACCAATACGAACAAATAAATACCCTTTATACCAAAAGTGGGCACACACCACTCAGAACCCAACTAGGAAACACAATCCTCAATGCCAACAAGCACACATATCCCTCAGACCCACCATGAACACACACCCATCAGAACCAACACAGACACACAACCCACAGACCCTAGTCAAACAAACACACCCCTCAGACTCCAACACACACAAACATACCTCAGAACCAACACAAACACATACCCCTTAGAATTAACATGGACACACATAACCCTCAAACACAACACAGGCACACAGCCCTCAGAACCAAAATGAGCACATAACCCTCAGAATCAACACATACACGCACGCCTCAACACAACTGGGGAAACACACCCTTCAGAACCCACCATGGGCGCAGACACAGCCCCAGACTCTACACAGGGGCACACACACAACTCAGACCCAACAGGGATAAACACATCCGGAATCAACACAGACACACACCCTTGAGAAGCCATACAGGCACAAACCTCTCAGAACTGAACACGGCAAGACACAGCCCTCAGACCTAACATGGGAGCAGATCACTCGGAAACCGATAATGACACACACCCGAGAACCAACGCGGACACAACAACCCTTAGACCCAGGTGCACAACCCCCTGGAACAGGAATGGGCATACACACCCTCCAGCGCCCAACGCAGAAACACACACTCCTCAGAACCAACGCAGAAATACACAGCCTTCAGAACCAAAACCGACAGGTACACCCCTGAGAACCGACAATGACAAAACAAGCCTCACACCCACACAGGCACACACAGCCCTCAGAACCCAACGTGACGAGCCCACACGACACTCAGAACCAACACGGACAGACACAACCCTCAGAAGCCAACGAGGGAGCAGACCCCTCTACATAACCCAAACACACACCCCTCAGAACCCACATGACACACAGCCCGTAACTAACACAAGTGCACAGACCCCTTAGAACCCAAGACAGGTGCAAAGCACAGCCTAGAACCCAACACGGGCACACACGCTCCTCAGAACCTTCGTGGACACACGACCAGCAGACCCTACACAGGCACACATACCCCTCCGAAGCTAACACACAAATACACACCTCAGAAATAACACAGACACACGCAACACTAAGAACCCAACATGGCCGCACCCACCCCTCAGACCCAACGTTGGACCAAACACACCCTTCATAACCAATATGGACACACACCCCTCAGACCCAACATGGTAACACCGCACACACACGAACACGCGCACACGCCCCTCAGATTCAACTCGACACACCTCCCTTATAACCGGAAAGGACACACAACCCTCGGACTGAACACTGGCACACACACCTCTCAGAACCCGAGGCAGCAATACACACCCCTTCAAACGCAACAAGGGTCAGACCCCTCAAAACCCAACAGGCACACACTCCTCACACCCAACACAAGCGCACAACCCCCTCAGAATTCAAACAGGCAGACAGCCCTCAGACCCAACGCGGGAGCAGACCCCTCGGAACACAACCCAGACACACACCCTCAGAACCCGACACGACACACTTACGCCTAACGCGGCGCGCACCCGCCCAGAACCCCCCAGACACAAACCGCTCAGACCCAACCAGACCACACAGCCCTCACGCCCGACGGGCACACACACTCCGGGGACACGGCGGGCACGCGGCCTGCGCGCCGAGGAAGCGTGCCTCGCGCGGCCCCCGTGCGGCCTCTCCGCCGCCTGCGCCCTCTCCGCCCCGCACCTGGCGCAGCGCGGCCTCCGCGGCGCCGCCGTCCCGCTGCCGCAGCTGCTCCCGGAAGCGCGCCACCTGCTCCAGCAGCGCGTCCACGAGCGACGGCGCCGTGTCCCCCTCGAGCGCGGCCAGACGGGCGCGGAGGCGCGCTATGAGGACGTCCCGGGCGGCCAGCTGGTCCTGCAGGCGCCTCAGGCTCTGCCCCGCCTCGTGGTACAGGCCGCAGAGCGCGGCAGCAGCGCGCGGGGCGCCCTCCCGCCCGCCGGACCCCGCGTTCCCAGACGACATGGCTGCGGGCCTGGCCGACAGGGCACTGACCACCGGCAACTTCCGCGCCGGGTCTGGGCGGGAGGCCCACCTTCCCGGAACTTTTCCCGGCGCGCCCCGCCCCCCGCGGAGATCCCGGGCCCGCCCGCCCCGCCGGAAGGCCAGGCCCCGCCCCCCCGCCGAAAGGCCAAGCCCCGCCCCCGCCGAGATGCCAGGCCCTGCCCGCCGCCGGGAACGTGGCCCCGCCCCAGTCCTATCCCGCCCGGGGCCCGCGGCCTCTCCGCCCGCGGGTGACTGGCGTGTCCCACCCGCCCCATCGCCTCGAGTCAGGGAGCTTTCGGAGACTCGGGCCCGGGCGAGGAGAGGGGTCAAACGGCCTGCGATGTAGTTACTGTTGGAAGGGAAAGAAGGGGCCAAAGACGACCCCAAGTGTTAGTCCCGAGCGTGGGTCCGAATCCCCGGGCTGCAGGCCGGCTGGCCACGCCGAGCACCAGGAAAACGGCGACCTTCCACGAGCTGAGCCCCGCATCCCCTCTCTAAGGTCGCAAGAACTATTCTTAGGGCGGAAGGCAGGAGGGAGCTGGCCCTTTCCCGTCCTCGTTTCTCCATCCCTTTCCTTCCCCCCCAGCTCCCCAGACCAACTCCGAGGGTTTTTCCGTGGCTCCACGGCTATTTTCTTTTTCAAAGTCTGAGTGTCCTCGGCAATGATGCCCAAGCACACCTGTGATCTTTCAAAGGTTCCCTCCCACAGACCCCTCTGCTGGCCCCTACCCAGAGCTGCCTTCCTCGCCAGATCCCCTGAGAGCAGCGTGGCGTTTTTTCCCATTTTTGTAACCCATACCAAGCTTGGGCTGAGCCCGGGGAGACACCCGCAGGCTGGTAGAATCAGACAAGTATAAGCGAAGACAGCTCACACTTCCTCCGCTGCAGAGGGAAGGTCAAAGGCAGTTGCCCTGCTTACCCCACAGGTGTGCTGTAGGGATTAGAGGATGGAGTGCAGAGTGCCTGCCCCTGCGAGCCCACAGTCCACGTGACTAAGGTTAGGAATGACACACTCTTGTTGGCTGGAGCAGTGATGGAGAAAACCAAGTAGCACTGGCCCCAGAGCTGTTAGAGATAGGTGAGTCGTCATTGCTATTGATGTGAGTGTAACCTCCCACATGTCACTCAACTGCCCTTGAACCTGGTTCTCACTTGTAAAATGGGCATCCCAGTCTCTCCTCTAACATTCTGGGGGTCACACGTACTTCGAAATTCAGAATCTTTGGATTTGAGATAGGTACATATAATTGGGGTCGCCAACATCCAGAAAGGATCCCACTCCTGGGATTCATGCTCTTGTGATCTCACCCTCTGACACAGTGAATAGGGCTGACCCGTGTAAGCAAGAGGATATTGCAGAAATGATGGAGTGATTTCTGCAGCTGGGTCACAAAAGACATTGCCTCGCCCTCTCTTAGATCATCCCCTCTGGGGGGAAGCTACCTGTCGTATCGTGAAGACACTCAAGTAGCCCTGTGAAGAGGTCCATGTGATGAGGACATGAGACTTCATGCCGGTAGCCAGCATCAACTTCCCCACCATAGTAATTGAGCTACCTTGGGACCACCCCCAGCACGCATCTTAACCGTGACCTCATGGGAAACCCTGGGCCAGAAGCACCCAGCTAAGCTACTTCCACACTCCTGGCCCACAGAAGCTGTCTGACATCATAAATGTTTATTGTTTTAAGCTGCTAACATTTGGAGTCGTTTTTTACACAACAATAGGCAACCAGCAAATAGTATATTGCTCAGTGCTCCCACTGGGGCATTGGACAGCACCCCAAAACCATATACATTAACATTGCTGCAAAGACAGGATGACCATTCAAACTAAGTGCGATAAAGACCATGAAAAGCCTTACAGCTGTTCAAGTCAGATGTCGACCCAGTCTGAGAAAAACATTTTGGGTTTCTGAGCTTTTTGGATTTCAGAATTATGGATGAGGGATGGCAGAATTCAAGCAACATGTGCCTTACAGGGCATTGTGAGGATTCGGTAAGTTAAGGTAGGAAGTACCCAACATGCCTGTGCCTTCAACTAATACCCAGGGGCTGAATCAAGCACAGGGTTAATGGGCAAACATTCTAGGGACAGAGACAGACCTCCCTTCAAAAAAAAAAAACATTACAAGATAAGGAAACTTTGTATAGGAAAGAAAGGGGGGTAAAAATTCTTTACGAAAACAAATAAATGAATCTTGGGACTTCCCTAGTGGTCCAGTGGTTAAGAATCCACCTTCCAATGCAGGGGACGCAGGTTCAATCCCTGGTCGGGGAACTAAGATCCCACATGCCTTGGGGCAACTAAGCCTGCGTTCTGCAGCTACTGAGCCCCTGTGCTCTGGAGCCTGTGCGCCACAACTAGAGAGAAGCCTGCACTCCGCAACAAAGAGCCCCCATGCCACAACGAAGATCCCACATGCCTCAACTAAGATCCATTGCAGCCAAATCAATCAATCAATAAATATTTTTTTAAAGTAAGCAAAGGGGCTTCCCTGGTGGCTCAGTGGTTAAGAATCCGCCTGCCAATACAGGGGACACAGTTTTGAGCCCTGGTCCGGGAAGATCCCACATGCCGCGGAGCAACTAAGCCCGTGTACGACAACTACTGAGCCCGCATGCCACAACTACTGAAGCCCATGCGCCTAGAGCCTGTGCTCTGCAACAAGAGAAGCCACTGCAATGAGAAGCCTGTGCACCGCAACAAAGAGCAGCCCCTGCTCACCACAACTAGAGAAAGCCCATGCACAGCTACAAAGACCCAACGCAGCCAAAAATAAATAAATAAAAAAATTTTTTTAAGTAAGCATATAAGAGGCTTAGGAGGAGAAACAGGACGATGGGACAGAAACAGAGAGGAGGGGACTCTCAGCTGCAACCAGAATGATGAGAAGGAGCCCACACAGAATTGAGTCAGTGGGTCCTGAGCAGAGGGAGGACACGTGAGTCGGCCTGGTGGGGAGTGCTGGGGCTGACGCCCTAGACTGCGGCCTAGGGTGGGCAGGGAGGGGGTAGGGGCCAGATCTGGAGGGGTCAGGCCCTACACAGAGGTTGGGTCTTATTCTAAGAACAGTGAGAACCACGGGGTTTCCTGCAAAGGTGACCAGGAAGGAGGGAGAGGGGTGAAAAGTACAGGAAGAGACTGGGGATGGGTTGCTTCTTCAACTCTGGTTCCTCCCCTGATGGAAAACTACTAAATATAAATTCCTCCAAAATTCTCCCTCCCCTGGCGTCTTACTTTCGGTCCTATCGGGGCCTGCGGCCTTTTCCTGGCCTCCTTCCCCCACTTTGTCTGGACACTGGGACTTCAGCCCTTGCTGTGATCAGCCTCTGGAAGCAGCTGTGCCAAGAAGCAGGTGGTGGAGGGGCCAGGGGCCTCCCCAGGAGCCAAGCCCATCCACTGAATAGTAGCCAGTGAGGTTGACCCCTGGCACACCTATGCCAGCAACCACCCTCACACATGCATGTACCTGCTGTCATGTTCCCCTACCCAGCTCTTCCCTTCTATGGGTCCCAAGGTATTCACAATGCAAAGTTCCCAGTTGTAGGAAAGTGAATGGATTAGTCAATTCAGGCTGCCATAACAAAATGCCACAGACAAGGAGACTTAAACAACAGGCATTCATTTTCTCACAGTCTGCAAGTTGGAAGTTCAAGGTGCCAGCAGGTTTGGTCTCTCCTGAGGCCTCCCTCCTTGGCTTGCAGACAGCTGCCTTCTTGCTGTGTCCTCACAGGGCCTCTTCTCTGTGCACATCCCCAGTGTCTCTCTTCTTACAAGGACACAAGTCCTATGGGATTAGGACTCACCCTTATGACCTCATTTAGCCTTAATTACCTCTGTAAAGGCCATATATCCAAATACAGTCACAGTGGGGGTTAGGGCTTCAACATATGAATTTGGGGCAGGGGTGGGGGACACAATTCAGTCCCTAACAGAGAGGATGTTGCCGAGTAGCACAAAGATATTTTTAGTAAGGTCTCTGACATATGAAGGTATGTCCCCTCTGCCCTTGGAAGAGGTGGAACACAGAGAAGGACTAGGGGACAGAGGGTGGTCCTGGAGAGCCTGGGTGGAGCCCATTCCAGCTCCTGTATGGAACTGACATACTTGCCATGGCAAATGGAAGAACAAGCAAACCTCAGTCTCCCAAGTGTCTCCACGCCTTCCCAGCCAAGACGGCACAAGTGATGAGCTGTTCCACTGGGTACTCTTTATACCGTTTGTTTTTTGTGTGTGATGTCCTTGCTTCTGGTGCACTGGAGAGTTAGAAAGAGCACCAGGTTGAGGAAAGAGTCCTCAGTTCTAGGGACAGCTTGGCCACTGCCCACCATTCTTACCCTCTCTGTGAGTTGGCCTCCCAGTCCAGCCACTTTCTCCGACCCTCTCCAACTCCTCACCTGCTACCCAGGTTCTCCTATGTCCAGAACCAAATCCACTGTCCTTCCTCAGTTAACCTGAGATAAAGATATGAGAAGCCTGCTCCACAAAGGGACCCAGAATGAATCTGGGTGGGAGCTGATACAGGGAGCATTGGATTTCCCCATCCTACAACTCTGCGGTGTTTGGATTTGTGCAGTAAAGCGTCAACTCTGCAGGTTTGTTGTGTTCAAACCCTGTTCACTCCAAAGAAAAAACTGGCCCCCCCTGTTTTTAAACAACAAAATATATTTTACTTAAAAATTACCCACCAATAAACTTTCTTTTGTACATCAGAAGTAATGGATTAATTACTGTTAACCTAAAACAATAAAAGTCAGTTATTTTTACCAGTAAAATGGGTTTACTCATGAGCAGCAAAGAACTGCAATTCAGGATATGCAACTATGGCAAACCACATGCAAGTCTAGTAAAACAAAGGAAAGGACACTCTTTTATAGAGGAGAAGGGGAAGTTGGGAGGGGCTGTTCTAAACAAGCAGTCCATTGGAGGGAACTGGGAGTTCAAAGTAAAGTGACTTTTCATTGGCTGAATTCTGACAGCCTCTCAGTAGCTGAGGTGTTGCCAGGTGAGGAGAAAATCTTTCTTCCTCCTGCCTGCAGTAGAAAAACAGCGTCACTTCTTGCCAGAG